GGCGGGTGCCAGCCGAGCGGCATCGTTGGCCTTGCCTGCGGGTCCTGCTGGGCCTGGCGGGGCATCACTCCCCTCGTGGGGGCACGTCTCAATCCCTGCGGCGGGCAAGGTCGGGGTTTTTCCTCAGCGGTGGTGGTGGGGACAGCCGTGTTGTGATTTAGTGAGAGAATGGTTCAGCGGGGCTGAATTCCCCTCGCCCGTTTGGGAACTCAGTGCTGCAAGGCTGACCCGCTGGTGAAAGAGAATGTGTTCCTCTTGTTGTGGATGTGCTCTGATAATATCTCGAAGCGGCATGTTTCGGAGGTACCGATGCATGCCTCTGGTCTGTACAAGAGCCTTTAGACTTTTCTGTGCTTAATGTCACCAACTATGGAATTTAACTCTTAGTAATTGTAATATGTGTTGGAATAAATAGGGTACTATATCTTCTAGAAGATTTATGTCTTTTATTTTACTTATTTACTTTTTGCTTTGGAGGGCTTTATTTGCAGGATTTCTCGGTATAAGAAGCAATGATGGGTGTTTTCAGACAGGCAGATTTGGCCTTGATTTGCTTGTGCTCTGAGGAATGAAATCTGTCCTTTATATTAAATATCTACTTTGAACTTGTTGGAGGAAAGTATGCTTTCTGTCTAAGGACTCAAATTTATTTTATTTTATTTTTTACATATGCTAGTTTATACAGCATTGAAATCCACTTCAGAACATTGATTATCTGGCAGGATCTAATTTATAGAGCATGGAAGTAGGCACTTTCGTGTCCTAAGCAAGATCCCTGTGTAGCTGATGTAGCACAGAACTGGGCATTCTCAGAATGACCTTTCTGTAAGGCTGTTTCCATTGCTGAGAAGATATTACAAAACGCTGTGATAACCCTAGGTCAATATATGCTAAAGAAGCTGTAAAAACACATACTGGGCTTGGGCTGTTTGGAAAGGGAGAGAGCAAGGGTAAGGTTAGAATTAGTTTCTTCCCCCTTGTTAATATCAAGCATATGAATCTAGGTGCTTTGTTGTGGTTTTTTTTATATGAAGGGAAGTTAATAAGAGCTGTGAATGTGTATGTAGATTCTAATATAATGTCTATGTGCTACCTGTGGTGTTGAGTGCTGAATTGTTGAATTAGAGGCCACTAGAATCATCTATTACATAACCTTGTAAATATAGAAAAACTTTATATCATGGAGTTAATTTTCTTATTCTACTTTTAGTGGCAACCTGGAATTCAAATGGCAAACGCTTGTTGCTTCTCTTTCCTTATTATGTTCTGCTTGTTTTCTGTGGGACAGATAGGACCAAGAAGGCCTAAGGGATTAGTTATTGATTAACTGTTTTTCCAACATGGTCAGCACTTTGAATTTCAGGCATAAAGGACTGAGATTGGGCATTCATCTCTGGTAATGACAAGTTGAGAGTGATCCCAATCCTTTTCCAGTTGGGAGAGGGGCTGTCTTGCATGTACTGTAAATATAAACAGAAAAGAGGTGAGGCAAAGAAATAAAAATATGAGTTGTTACATTGAAATGAAGGCTTTTATAACTCAAAAAACTATGCATGACCTAGTAAACCTTAAAAAACGCTGTAGGTAGGCATCAGTAGTAATGACTAAAGAAATTGCTTGTTTTCTAATATGAAAGAGTTTCTTAAGTACAAATGCCAAGTAGAAGAGTTCAGAACAGTTTTCTACACTATTCTACAGAGTTTAATGTTCCCTGAAATGGAAATCTGGAGTGCCTCAGACAAAGAAGAAATTACTTGAAAAAATAATTTCAGGTTTGTTGTATGGATTTTTTTTAAAGAAAAATAGAATTTTGCCAATTAAGGTATCGTGAGATTCCAGAACAGTTTGTTAAATATCCTTATAAGCAAACCCACTCCTTATAAAATAGAACGTGCAAAATGTGCTGCAGAAAAACTTATTCTTTCACAGTAATCTAGGGTGTTACCTGTAAGTAGAATCTGAGTAAACTAAAGTATCTGAAGATCATAGTGCTTTTCCTGACAATACCTCTTATCTGAGATACTTTGTTGTTTCTTCTCAACTACACTTCTGTTTGTACTTTGTGCAATATATACTTTTCTGTAAAGTTGGTAATCCTGTTAACCTTTGAATAACATTGATTGCATTTTGTATTTTAGGGTAAAATCTTTGGGATATCTTTTCATGCATTACCACAATCATTTGTGCCAGAATACGGTTTTATTCCAAGGTAAGTTAACACTGTATATTTAGATTTACACTTACTTTGCTCTCTGTATAGTCCTGAAATCTTGTCAGGAGAGGGGCCATAACGTTTATTCCAGGCCTGCTAAAACTTTAATGTGGGATGAAAGAATAGTTTCAGTTGGAGGAGAAGAAAAGCAGAAGTTAAATGGGGAATTCAGAGCCACAGGTGTCATTCAGTTGTATGTCTTTGTATTTGTCACTTGAGAAAACTATATATATATATACATACATATATACATATATGTATGTATAATGTTTTAGCTATTTATAATGAGATAGTTTTTCTGGGGAAAACAAGGCTTATGTTGAATGTCGAAAGTATGTTGCTATTCTTTCCTCAGCTTTCTTGTTGAAACTTGTGAATATTTGGAAGAACATGTCCATACTGAGGGACTCTTCAGGAAGTCTGGATCTCTTGTTCGTTTGAAAGCTTTAAAGGTATTCTCTGAAGCCTCTCTTTGTATTTCACTTGATCATGTGCATGTTTTAGTTTTTGGGCTCTTTTCAGTCATATTCACATTTTAATATTGGAAGTAGACTGATAACATTACCTGCTTTAGAAGAGAAGATCTACTCCAGCAACTGGCAAACTTCACTTTTTTTTACTTTTCTTTTTTTTCTGGGAATTTTTTTGGCTTTTCAGATGGTGGGAATACACTTATGACTGAATAAACTTTTTAGCAGTTATGCACTCTGGATACTGTGAGGATATTTGTTTAGCAATGTTCTCCCAGGAGGATGCGTACATGGGAAACCTGTAAATTAAGACATGTGGTCTGACAACATCGTCAGTGTCTCTTTGCAGATACTGTATTTGGCTAAAACATGACAAGGCTGAAACTAAAAATAGGGAAGATGTAATTGTCTTTTCTGATATGAGTTAGAGTATTAATGCCTGAACTTAGATATCTGACAATACGTTGAAGACTTCAAATCATGTTTCTTATGAACAATTGCAGAGTAAACTGGATCAAGGTGAAAACTGTCTCTCTGCTGCGCTGCCATGTGATGTTGCAGGGCTTCTTAAACAGTTCTTCAGAGAGCTCCCAGAACCCATCCTTCCACCTCATCTGCAGGAAGGCCTTTTCAAAGCTCAGCAGCTAGGAAATGAGAAGAAAACTGCAACTGTGTTGCTGTCCTGTTTGATGGCTGAGAGAGCTATTGAAGCTTTGAGATACTTTTTCAACTTTCTGAGAATTGTGTCTCTAAGGTTGGTGTAAAGAGTGCTTGTAAACAGCTCCCATTTTCTTTAATGCCTTCTCTCTCCAGGCAGCTGCTGTAATTTTCTGTGAGTAGTTTATGAATGTAAATGTTCTTATCTGCAGTCATTCACTAACACTCAGTCATGGTCTTTTCTTTCATCAGTCCAAAGTGTTTGCTTTATGAACCCTAATTTGCTGGACACTTGACTTTGTTCCATTCTTTCATAGCTGCATTCCTCATTCTCCTTTGAAAAGCAAAAGGAGTGACTATCTGATAGCTTACATTCCCCAAAACTGACTGGGGTCTCTAACCTCTTAATTTCAATATCATAGCCATGTGGTTACCTAGCCTGGGGTGTACAACTCTGCACATTTATCTCTCATGTGAATGACTCTGTATTTGTTTTTTCCCAACTGCATTTGTCTTATTTGTTCTTTTGTCTCTCTGCTGTTTGTCTTGATAATTTGTGTAAAAATATCTTTTCTTGTTAAGATCGAATGAAAACAGAATGGATAGCAGTAATCTGGCAGTGATTTTTGCTCCTAACCTCTTGCACTCGAATGAAAATGAGAAGATGTCAACCAGTACAGAAAAAAAAATTCGCTTGCAAGCTGCTGTTGTGCAAACACTTATTGACCATGCAGCAGAAATTGGTAAGATGATAAATTCTTATTAAAATGTCTTGTTGCACATACAGCTTTTCTTTTCAACCTCTTAAATAACTTCAAAAAATGTATTTCTCAACTAATTCAGGACAAGTACCAAAATTTATTTTGGAAAAGATTCCTGCAATGTTAGGTGTTGATGCCTTTCAATCTACTCCGTCGTTATGGGGCCCTGAAGACAGTGAAAATGAATCTCCCAGTGAATGTAAAAAGAGGAGACACCGAAGTGTTGGGGGTAGGTATGTTGTGTGAAAGTTTCAGAAACTAAAATTATTGTGAGACTTCAGGTATGCTGATCCTAACTGCTGCTTGCTTCCACAAACAGAATAGATGTCTGTGAAATTTGTTGGGTTTGATATGCAAAATCCGTGCAAGTCTTCAGTAATTATATAAATTTACTTGTTATTTACTCTGAGTTGATTCTAGTATGTCTGCTGTCCACCAAAGAAGCTGATTTGCTTGTATCTAGATTTATGAAGCCACATAAACATTCCAGCTTTTTGTGGAGTCAACATCAGATCCTGTTGCAAAACAGTGATAAAGTATTTTAAAGATTTTAATTTTTTAGCAATTTTGAAATTCTTCTTGGACTCTCAAAGATATTGCACAGTAACAAATCAGCCATTAAAAGACAAGGATACAAATGCCGTGTGTCTTCTGAATGAGTATAATTAATTTGTGGTTTGAAGTTAACTAAATTTTATATTGTTGGCTATTATGTGCTCTGATATTATAGATATATTTGAGGGTTTTTTTGCGGTTTAGCTATTCAGTAGAGGTGTGTTTTTTTCCAAATATGGATAATTAAATGGTATATTCTCTGAGGGGAAATACTGTGAAATACTTATGCTTGACTTGATTAAAATCCACTGTAACACACTCATCTCATATGTATTGCTATAAAAATACAAGTATGTTTAGCTCATGTGCCTAGAATATTAAACTTGGCAGTAATTGAAATTAAGGCTTTGTTATTGTATATGTTTAGTCAAGGTATGGGGTTTTTTGTAATATACTTTTCCATTCTGAAGAAGGGGCATCTTCCTGGAGTTGCAAAGTGAGAAATGTTTGTGAATGTTAAAATTTGGAGGAAAAGCAGTTAGAATTTTTTAATTCTACAGAAGAGGTTCTACAGAAGAGTAGTAGGCAGTTTCTAATCTTTTTCCAGATGTAATAAAAAGTGTATTACTACACTTTATCTGTTTTCAAAGACGAGTCTTTGCTTGATATCTACCAGACATCATAAAAGAATTACTGCAGCCTTGTAGCTTGCTAAACTTTGCTTTAAAAATATGAAAATATAATTGTTGATTGCAATAGCACGTAATTAAAAGACTTCTTGTTTACACTTATAAAAGCAGAAAAAACTTCATGCATATTCTCTGCTGGATTTAATTTTGCCTTCAAAGAAACAATCACCCTAAAACAGAAACACGTAGTTAATAGAAAAGTTGAATATTATTTATTTGCAAGACCAAGATTTCATACTTTTATCTGGGCCTAATTTCAAAGATCCAAGAGCTTTTTCAGCTTCAAGAGAGCTGCCCAGTAAAGTGAGTCTGAGACTTTCTGTGAGAATGTCTTCAATTAATAACTTCTAGATTTGTCTAGAAGAAATGGCAAGGCATGTATTTTAAAATGAGCAGTATAATTTTCTACTTTTGTTTTCTGTGCATGTTTGGGTTTTTTTAACTATTAAGCGAACTATAACTTTTAAAATATTGTGAAGGCAACAAAATTGGTATGTTGGTAAAAAGATCTGGACTAGAGATTTCTTTATATAAAACAACCATTTCTTTATTTCTCTCTGAAAGAATACCAGTTAGACTTGAGCTGAAAATACAGCAAGACAAACTTCATATTTAAATTTGATTGCTCGGTATGTCTTGCATTTCAGATATTGTTAGTGGAGCATTGAATAAACTTAAATCTAACAGAACACCCTCCACTACACCTCAACAAGACAGAAGTGGTAGGTATTGGTGTTTTTGTACTTAATATAGCCTATGCAGTATCTTCCGGATTAGTCAACTTTATTCTACATATTTCTTTAACTGAAGAACTAGAATTTATTTAGAACTAGAACATATTTATTCAGGATACTGCATTTTCTGTTGCTCTTGGGGCACCTGCCGTCTCAGTGGCAATGGGCTGTGCAGTTCTAGGTCTGGATAACTGAACTTGCGCTTTGTGCACTAGTGCAGCATTACCTTGTGAATGAACCTGCCAACTGAAATCCTTTTACTCTGTATCTTAAGCTTACAGAACAAGACTACAGCTTTTTATTAATACGTGATTTTGTTTTTTCCTTTCTGGTACTCTTGTGAAAAAGCAACCAAAAAAACCCCAAACCTGAAGCTATACTGATTGCTTTGCCTGCTTTAAATGCATGCACTTCAGCTAAGCTTTTACAACAGGTATTGTTGTTTTTCTTCAAAGTGAAAAAACAAACAAACCACAAATACCGTTTATATTCTGTTAAATGCTCAACTCTTTAATCTGTTATTGCCAATTTGGTTTTTGTAGTTTCAGTCCTGTCATCAGTGACTCCAGTGCTTCTTACTCCAAGTACCAAGCGTAAACTTCCAGCTGATTGCTCTCAGGGCTTGTCCAGCAAGAAGAGACGATCTTTTAAGCATAGTTTTGCTTTTGAGCTATTACCAAGTAGTATTTTTAACAGCAGCTCAACACCAGCAGCAGGTATGTTGCCCCCTTTTTTTTTCCTTGCTACTTGAAGTGGTTGTTTTTTACTTTTAACTGTGCAGTCTTTTGTTCTTGTTGAGCAGTCATTGATAATCTTCATTTAACAGGGTTACTTGCACTACTTTCCTCTCTTTGTAAATAGTCTATGCTTACGTTCATCAGTTACTGTCATGTTACATGGATTGGGTAAAAGGAGAATTCTGTTTCATGTTTTCTGTTATACTAATCTCTCAGATCTGCAATCCGATGTCCATTTATCTTTTTCAGTCCCTCTGTATCACCTAGGTTATACTCACATTTTAAAGAATCATAGAATCACAGGGGTTGGAAGGCACCTCTGAAGGTCATCAAGTCTAACCCCTGGATTCCTAGCAGGAACACCTAGGGAAGATGAGACAGGAATGAGTCCAGACAGGTCTTGAAAGTCTCAAGAGAAGGAGACTCCGCAACTTCCCTGGGCAGCCTGTTCCAGTGCTCCATCACGCTCACAGTAAAGAAGTTTTCCTCATGTTGAGGTGGAACTTCCTGTGTTGTAACTTGGTGCTGTTTCGACTTTCTGTGAGAATGTCTTCAATTAATAACTTCTAGATTTGTCTAGAAGAAATGGCAAGGCATGTATTTTAAAATGAGCAGTATAATTTTCTACTTTTGTTTTCTGTGCATGTTTGGGTTTTTTTAACTATTAAGCGAACTATAACTTTTAAAATATTGTGAAGGCAACAAAATTGGTATGTTGGTAAAAAGATCTGGACTAGAGATTTCTTTATATAAAACAACCATTTCTTTATTTCTCTCTGAAAGAATACCAGTTAGACTTGAGCTGAAAATACAGCAAGACAAACTTCATATTTAAATTTGATTGCTCGGTATGTCTTGCATTTCAGATATTGTTAGTGGAGCATTGAATAAACTTAAATCTAACAGAACACCCTCCACTACACCTCAACAAGACAGAAGTGGTAGGTATTGGTGTTTTTGTACTTAATATAGCCTATGCAGTATCTTTCGGATTAGTCAACTTTATTTTACATATTTCTTTAACTGAAGAACTAGAATTTATTTAGAACTAGAACATATTTATTCAGGATACTGCATTTTCTGTTGCTCTTGGGGCACCTGCCGTCTCAGTGGCAATGGGCTGTGCAGTTCTAGGTCTGGATAACTGAACTTGCGCTTTGTGCACTAGTGCAGCATTACCTTGTGAATGAACCTGCCAACTGAAATCCTTTTACTCTGTATCTTAAGCTTACAGAACAAGACTACAGCTTTTTATTAATACGTGATTTTGTTTTTTCCTTTCTGGTACTCTTGTGAAAAAGCAACCAAAAAAACCCCAAACCTGAAGCTATACTGATTGCTTTGCCTGCTTTAAATGCATGCACTTCAGCTAAGCTTTTACAACAGGTATTGTTGTTTTTCTTCAAAGTGAAAAAACAAACAAACCACAAATACCGTTTATATTCTGTTAAATGCTCAACTCTTTAATCTGTTATTGCCAATTTGGTTTTTGTAGTTTCAGTCCTGTCATCAGTGACTCCAGTGCTTCTTACTCCAAGTACCAAGCGTAAACTTCCAGCTGATTGCTCTCAGGGCTTGTCCAGCAAGAAGAGACGATCTTTTAAGCATAGTTTTGCTTTTGAGCTATTACCAAGTAGTATTTTTAACAGCAGCTCAACACCAGCAGCAGGTATGTTGCCCCCTTTTTTTTTCCTTGCTACTTGAAGTGGTTGTTTTTTACTTTTAACTGTGCAGTCTTTTGTTCTTGTTGAGCAGTCATTGATAATCTTCATTTAACAGGGTTACTTGCACTACTTTCCTCTCTTTGTAAATAGTCTATGCTTACGTTCATCAGTTACTGTCATGTTACATGGATTGGGTAAAAGGAGAATTCTGTTTCATGTTTTCTGTTATACTAATCTCTCAGATCTGCAATCCGATGTCCATTTATCTTTTTCAGTCCCTCTGTATCACCTAGGTTATACTCACATTTTAAAGAATCATAGAATCACAGGGGTTGGAAGGCACCTCTGAAGGTCATCAAGTCTAACCCCTGGATTCCTAGCAGGAACACCTAGGGAAGATGAGACAGGAATGAGTCCAGACAGGTCTTGAAAGTCTCAAGAGAAGGAGACTCCGCAACTTCCCTGGGCAGCCTGTTCCAGTGCTCCATCACACTCACAGTAAAGAAGTTTTCCTCATGTTGAGGTGGAACTTCCTGTGTTGTAACTTGGTGCTGTTTCCCCTCATCCTACTGCAGGGCACCACTGAAAAGGGGTTGGCCCATTCTTGACAAAAACCCTTCAGATATTTGTAGACGTTAATAAGGTCCCCTCTCAGTCTTCTCAAGACTCAACAGCCCCAGGTCTCTCAGCCTTTCTTCGTGTGACAGATGTTCCAGTCCCTTAATTGTCCTTGTAGCTCACCATTGGACTCTTTCCAGTATATCCCTATCGCTCTTGAACTGGGGAGCCCAGAACTGGATGCAATACTCCAGATGTGGTCTTACAAGGGCATTTCTGCCTTAGCACACAAATCCATGAAAATTGTCTATGCTTGCCACCTTTTGAAAGTTGTAGCTGCTGTCTCTCTTCTGAATACTTAAATAGCTGGTCTTAGCTCTATATGAACTGTAATTGTTGCTGTTGAAAATGTTCTTTCTTGAATCCAATCACCTTTTGTTTTCTGTAGATGCTAAATAATTTTGGAATTCTTTAGAAAAAGTTTCAGTTTTGTCTGACAATGCTTTAATACCACTTTATTCTACTACAGTGCTTCCAACAGTCAAGATTGATTGCAAATCCTCTTACTTTTGTTCAGCTAATTAACGTGCTGCCAACTGAAATTAGAGTAAAAATAAATTTCTAGATTGGTTATGTTTGTTTTGCCTGAAGATAATTCTTTTTTCTCCACTGAGTGGTATAAATTTCTTGATCTTGTTTGTTGAATAATTTCATGCTCACCATGAAATTCTTGTTTCATGCAAGAATTGGTTTCAAGCAAACCAAAGCAATGACATTTCCTGAAGATAGTATGGATGCATCTGTTTCATAAAACGTTCAGTAGAATAGCAGCTGTTTAATTTTTTGTTGCTTTAACCTATTCTGGCTGGGTAAATAAAAAAGCACACTGTAAATATCATTAAGACTAAACCTAGTTTTTCTTAGTAAGCTTTTAAATTTGAGGAACTGATCCGACGATAGCACTGTGAAAACTTCGTTGAGTAGCATGCAATTAACTGCAATCCAGCCACTTCTCTGGATGCTACAAGCAACAGCTTCATTTAATATCAAATACAAGTCAAAGTAATTTTAAGCCAGCACTCCACAAAATAAGAAAAGAGATCTGTGCTGTTTAAAAACCTGTCCTTTACGGTGTTAACTGCTAAGTCTTTATCTGAAAAAAAGTGTGGGTGTTTTAAGATAATGTAAATATGATTTTGTTTCTGTAGTTCAGTTTGAAGCAAGCCCTTGTGTGTCTCTTGAGTCATCGCAAATCTCGCTGTCTCCTTCAACTGTTGGTGAAAATCATCTGTCTAGTACAGGGAACAGAAGAAGTAAAAGATATGCAAATAAAAAAATATACAGGTAATTTGCCTTGATTCTCAGAAACTGAAGATAATTTATTCTAAATTATCTTTTTTAGTGTTCAAAACATACTACAATTTTAAGTAATCTTAAAATCACTAGATCTTCCCATGTAGCAAAATGGGGCTCAAAACAAAATAAGATCTGGTATAGTAGCCTGCAGTACCTATTAAAATAGGTTGGCAAGAAGGCAATAGAAGTAGTAATACTGGAGGAAATAACCATAAATAGGTATCAGAATGTTTTTATTGCCCTCTAAAAGAGCTTTTTTAATGTATTTTTTTCTTCCTATCTCTCCTGCCAGGGCTGAATCAGGAAAGACAGGTTGTTTTTCTCCAAAGATTAGCCGAAAAGAAATGGTTCGTAGGTCGTTACGCTTGAAATTTGGTTTGGGGAAAAGCAACAGAGAAATGGTAAGTGTTCTGCTTCTAACCCAGTCGTCTTGTTATTGTGCAGAAGTTAATCCTAAGTCTGGGGCACTGCTTTCCAGTAGCAGGAAGGACTTACTGGTAATGGAGGGATCACAGCATAACTGGACCTGCTATCAAGTATAAGAAGCTGTAGGTTTATTTTCATAGCAGTAACCAATCAGCTCCGACTGGGTTAGGCTGGGAGAAGACACAGCTGGGACATCTGACCTGAATTCACCAAATAAATATTCCATGTCATATAATATTATGCTTTGCAATAAAACTGGGATGAGGGGAGATTTTGCAAAGTAGCTGCTGCTCAGGAGCTGTCTGGGTATTGGTCCACCTGTGATTGCTTTTGCATCACTTGTAGGTTTGGGATTGTTGGTTGGTTTTTTTCTTTTTTCTCCCACTCTGCTTTGCCTTTCTAGTTCTCCCCTTCATCCTGCTAGGGAGTGGAGGGAGTGTGGTGGTGGGATGGGAACTTACCTGTGGGTGTCAACCCACAACACATGTGATCAGTAGGTCTCTCAGTTCCTGAAATTCTGATCTTGAAGAGCCTACACACAGAATCACTGTGTTCAGAGTATGGTTAAACCTACATTACTGCAGGTGGCTTGTTGCCTACCTAGATCTACAGAGAATCAAGGGAATATGAAGTGTGTGGCCAAGAAAATGCTGCTATAATTGATATGCATAGCTTTTTCCTAGAAGTTCCTCTTTAAAAGAGATTCCAAATTATAAATTTATATGAAAGTAATTAACACCTTTGTTTTGTTCAAGAATGTTGTATCCGGCTGTGCAGTTGGTAATAGATCTGAAAATATTGGAAGACGTCTTGCAAGTCAGCAAGGATTGGAAGGCAGAACTGAATGTGCAAAAAGAGATGTACTCTTCAGCCCATATGTCAGTGAAAAATTCCCCAAGAAAGGTAAATATCTAACAGAATGTACTAGATGGGGAAAAGTTTTGCTTTTATAAAGCAAAAATAACTTTATGGATAAAACTAGAAGCAATTGGCTTACAAGTGCTTCTAATTAAAACAAAAGTTAGCTGAATGTTAGTGGCTCCTGGAGCAAAAATTTGCTTTAGGACAGGCTTCTAGTGTACTTCAGTAGTTCTCTCTTCTTAGTTAAGCAAGTTTGAGTTACATTACTTGAATTCTTAATATTACAACCTGTTTTCACATCTCTGAAACTAATGGGAGCAATGGCATCTTTAAATTCGCTACTGCTTAGGGTTGGTTTTTTAGCAAGAATTTTGCTTATAATCATGAAAATCTCAATAAACACTCATAAATAAAACTCATAAACACTGTGATATTTATTTTAAGGTTCAAAGAACGTGAGCAACTCAGGAGAAAACTTGCTAACTCCAAAATGTCTCGATAAAGTAGTTTGCCAAATGTCATGGAGTAGTCCTACTATTACAGATTCCCAGGCAATCAGCAGCAATGAGGGAATTCTGCCAGGAGACCCTAAAAGAGGAGCTGGATCTTCAGAACCTGTTTTCATATTTGGAAAGGCATCAGTTGTTCCAGGTGAATTCAAATCCACAACTGTAAGCAAACAAGACAACCGTTCAGAACTTTTGCATTGTGAAGAGGAAAGTAATTCAGCTGCAGAAACATTACTGAAAGTTAAGCAAGCCTTCTCTGCATCTGGAAGTAATCTTCACAATTTGATAGGTGATAAAAAATCTTCTCTCTCAGAAGTAGTGGGTGGAACATCAAATGAAAATATGTATCTGACAGGGCTCAGTCCAGGGAAAGAATTGGTAGCTGAAGAAGTTTCTGGAAGTCTAGCAAATACAAAATCCATAGAGCTGTTGCACCAATTTAATCATTCTGATGCAACTGATAAACAACAATCAAAAAAAGACGAAATTACAGGTTTGGAGGAAAGACATTTCAAAACTTCTATTGAGATTGAACTTCAGGTCCAGAAACCAGATATAAAAAATGTAACAGAACTTCCTGTGCCTCAGGTAATAGCCAGAGAAGACAAGCTGACTGTTCAGAAGAGTTCATCAAAAGATGCCTTAAACAAATTAGATTCCCTTAGAAGAAAAGAGGAAATGGAGTTAACACACACACAGACAGCAGAAAACTGTGTGGCAAAATGCTGTAATTTAGAAGAAGATACTGTTAAACTTCCTGTGGCAGGACAGCTTCCTACTTCAAAGTTGCCTAAATCGCAAAATGAAGTTGGCAACCAATGCTTGCAAGCTGAAAATTCTGATAAAACTTCAACTAGAGCATCAACAGTTTCTGACCATGGAAAGGTTTCTGACCACATACAATGGTTCAACAAGCTTTCCTTAAATGATCAAAGTTCTGCAAGCAAAACTAAACCGCCTCTTAAGTTTCAGCGTACTCCAGTTAGACAGTCTGTAAGAAGGATTAATTCTTTACTGGAGGCTAACAGACCATCTGTGAGCTCTCAGCTGCTTCAAGCAAGTAATGTTGGTTCACCACTTGTTAAATCTTTGAGCTATGATTCTGCACTATCCTCCTGCACAGAAAAGGCCTCAAGGAATTCCATGTCTTTGACACTCAGGAGCGAAAGAACATACAACCAAGCTTCTATATCTCATGAACAGCTAGACTTAACATCCAAATCATGTCGCAGGCAGCTAAATCCATCGGTCAAGCCTGATGCTTCTGTTAGAACTGCTGGAATCAATGAACTGAAAATGACTGTTCATCCATCCAAGTCTGTTCTAGAAGATCTAACCAATCATGAAACAGTGAAATCAAGTTTAAAAGTTAATGCAAATATAAATATTACAGGTGCTGCCCCAGAAAAATCTACAATCACAAGAAGTGCTCCAGGAAAAGGAGTTCATTATAGAGGCTCTCCAAAGAATCCAATATCTAAAGTGAAACTGCTACCAGCTGCAAAACCAGTAGACTTATAAGTTCTCATATGATTGCTAAATGGGCTTATTGTAACTTGGTTAACCTTTGGGAAATCAAAATTTGTATGATATTTTTAGCTCTAAATATTTGTAATTTTTGATTTATTTTTTAATCATACAAGTCCATGACTTGAACAATTAACAGCTTCTTTTATGTTGAGTTTTTCTTCATTTACTGAAACTTTTGTAAATGCTAGTCAGTTCATCCAGATGAATTTGACTTCTGGAAGAAAAATAACCCAGTTTTTACAAATGCTTGCATTAGATCTTATATTTAATGAGTTCAGTTCCTAAAAACATGCTGCATCTCCCAAAACAATTCTTGTAGTACTTAGTCTAAGTACCAAGTTTTTTTTTTAAAATTGTCAGACATTTAAAACAAAACCAACGGACTTGAAAGAAAATGATGCTGAGTATTGGTAGTTAAATTTCTTTACTTAATTTTAAGTGTATTGTAGCACTACTCTGATATTTAAGTTGGACCTTAGACTAGCTCTATTTCTTCTGAGACAATGTTTTTTCTTTCTGTTGGAGTAAATTGGGACCATATTTTCCTTACTGAGTAGGTACACAAATTCTATTTTGGCAGGGGTACACACACGCTGGAGCATTATTAGAACACATGGAAAATAAATGTGCAGTTTATTCAAGTGAAAAGTCTTAAAATTTAACCTAGCAATGTGTTCTGCAGTAGGTACCAAGTATTTTCAGGTGTGAACAGTAAAATGTTTTATCTTACTATGAAAAGATGGTCTTAACTTATTTTTAGAGCAATAGAATAGTGTTAACTAGGTGGTGCAGAAGCAGGTTTTATATGATGATAATGTTGCAAGAGACGAATGTAAGAAGCCATAGTGTGTTGAAAGTTGATTTGCACAAGCAAATGTTTACATCTTTTGGAATTAAAACTGTTTGTCTGTCATCATTTGTAAAACTATTTAAGAGTAAACACTTCAAACTGTTCATTAGCTTTCTGTATGTGCAGATTGCTTCTTGGCAAAATGTAAGCGCTGAAAGCACTGGATACTTCTGGTTTTAATAAAACCATTGGTTTTGTCCCTTTTTTTCTGAGCCTGTTGTCATTTGCAAACTGGACATCAAAAATGTGTAAGTCTGAAAATACTGAAGTCAGTATTTGTTCTGGCTCTCTTCTTTGTTCATCTTGGACACGTTGGTGATTCTCCTAAGTAGCATAAGGCATGCTGCAACAAAATTTATTTGGAGTAGGCTTTTAAACTCCTTGAGAGATCTGTTAATGAAAGGGATAGTTCCGCTTTTCTGTTCTTTTCCCCTCCTCCTTTCCCTGCACATCCCTCAGATTTCTTCTAGCTGAATTGGTTCACCTCAGTCATCTGGTGGAAGGAAACCTGCCACATCAGCCCAGCTCAGCTGCCTCACTCTTGCTACATTATTGTTAAATCTATCTAGGGAAGCGGCCATGAGAGGATCTTAGCAGGATTTCTTGGTGTTGTGGTTAATTATTGGAAGCTTCAGTTTTGTGAAAGGAGCCAATTTAACAGTTCACCACCATCTGGAAAAGAAACTGCTTCTCCCTGCTCTCAGCTACGTCCTCCCACCCATTCTGCCTTCCACTGGTGATGACAAATCCCTCGGTAGGCTGAATGTAGGCACCAGAGCAGCATGTTTTCTATCATTTCACTGAGGTAAATAAGGCTAAGGAAAGGAACTGGCAGCTGTCATAGCTGATGCAAAGAGGTAGGAGGTAGAAATAGGACAGAAGGAGAAAAGGGTAACGTGAGGAAAATGAGATCTGACTCCTATAATAGTGAGTTGTCACATCAGTTCATGTTTGACAGAGCAAGACTTGAGATTTTTTCTGTTAATATGTACTAAATATTTTGAATGCTAATGTAGCTTTGACAATGTGTCATGGATGGAGCAGTCAACTATTTCTGATTGTCAGTGCAAGCTGGTCTTGAACCAATAGACTTAAATGTCAGGGAGATTTTTGTAAGGACCTGACAAGCCCTTAAACACCAGGAAGACTGTCAAAGGAAGTTCTAGGCTCCATTTTTAGAGATATTGCAGAACAGTTCATGCACACTTCCATTTACATGAAGGTGATCATGTTCTGGAGGAAGAGCACAGAAATACTAGATGCCCCGTGGAGGTCCCTACTGCTTAATCCTGCAAGTTACAGACAAGTATAATATGCTGTAGACCAGCAAAAAGCCAGTAATCTACGTTTGAAAGTGTAGTTTGTGGAACTGTTGTGGTTTATGGGGTATAATTTCAGTTTTTCTCTAGGTATCCTAAAATAGAACATGTCACATTCTCAGCAATAGTAGTGAAGATGTGTTACATGAAATATCCTTTAGAAATTATTGTTTTGCCAAGTACTATTAAATGATAGACTGACTTCATTTAGCAAGATCCTTCTGTAGTTGTCTTTTTGTTAACTGCTGCTATGGGTCATGCCTGTAGATTTGCTCAACCTGAAGACTTTCACCTGCCCGTGCTTAGAGATCTTCGCTGTGTTGTTCCCTTGTAAACCTGCAGTTTGGTGATACAATCACTCTGTAAGTAAACAGCTGATCACATTCTGCGGAGAGAAACCACAGGGGGAAGACACAATCCTAGGAATACGTCATGTCTATAGCTGTAGCTGTTAATCCATCAAAAACATTCAGTTTATTTTTAGCTTATTGTGTTTAGCTGAAAGGGGAGATCTCGAATATCTCTTTCCCCCCGCAAGCTTTGTGTCGCCTTTTTAATCGGGCAAATCCCTGCAGTAGGCACACCGGCGTGCAGGTACCCACGGGAGGCCCGCGGGGGGGGAAGGGGAGCAAGAGGCCGTGGCTGCGCACGGAGGATGCG